CCTTTAATTTTTAATGTTACATCGATATAATTGAAATTATTTTGAAAAAACATCAAACTCTCACATTAATATTTAATATTTTTCCATAAAAAAATTAAGTATAAATTTCTTTTATTTATTTAAATATGATTTTAAAATGTTTCTTTTTTTAATAAAGATAAATAATAAAATTTTAAATAATTTTTAATTTAATTTTCTTCTATATTATTCCTTAAGCTATATTTATAAACAATTCAACTAAATTATTCAATTCAACTCATATTCAAGTAATATCAATTTATTAATTTTACAATTTACCAATTAAGAAATTTAATGTACATTTTACTAAGAAATAACGAATTGCACAATATTAAAGACTATATAATTTCATTTAAAGAAATATATGTTATATGATTTTTATGCATCCATCTATAAAATAATTATTTTTTGTTAAGGACAAAATTAAAAATTAGAACTGATTTATGAAGCAATTAAATAGTTTGAATTTTATTTTCAATAATTTCAATATTTTCAACAATTTAGGTTTTAGTAATAATTTATGAATGAATACACATTTTCCAAATATCAATAACAAAATATAACAATGATAATCACTTCATAAGCCACATTTGCGCTCCAAATACACAATACTTGCAACTGATCATCATAGAAGTTATAAAGTTGCAAAGATCCTAATCTCCATGCATTGCGACGCAATCTTGTGAAAATTTAAACTTGCAAATCTTGCAAACTGCCTTCCAATGCAATTATTTTTTTTAATTTCTAAAAATCAAAATCCATAATACTTGTTTAAGATCAGATAATTACAATTTAGCGATTTAATCGATTTAATTCAAATTAAATCGAGTTAGATTCAGATACAATACAAATCAGAGCACAGTTAGAAATCAGAAATAAAATTCAGTCAATCATTAGTCAACAACAAACGTTTAAAACCAATTATCATTAGTTCGCTCAAAGCGAATGTATTTATTATAGCAAAACATGAATTATAATTAAATAGCTAAGTTCAGTTTCCTAAACTTGAATTTAATTGAATATTTGTAAATTATGTTAAATGCCAATTTGAAAGCTATTTTTTTTATCAAATAGAATTAATAGAAAAAATCATGAACATTTAATCAGAAATTGAATTTAATCAGAACATTTAATCAGAATCTATTGAGTTTTTTGATTAATAGAATCAATTGACATGTATTTATGATGTAATTTTTATGCAAATATATTTGGAAAAACTTGTATTGCTTATTGATATATGGATTATTATGCTATTCTTAAATTTAATTCAAAAAATAAAAAAATATTGATTTCAAAAAAATAAAAATAAAGAAATATAAATATATGAAATTCGCCAACAATTAATTTATCTCTTAAATTTTATCAATATAATTTTGTTAATTTTTATTTTCTTATTTTGCTACATCTCAAGCAGTTTAAATAAAATTCATTTGTTTAAATATTTGGCAAAAAAGTGTAATTACTAATGTACAAATTTATTTTAATGTTTCAATCTAATTTAAATAATACTTTTACGTATTAATTAAGTTGTGTAGTTATTAAAATTTTATCTTTTCTATTTTTTTTATTTTTTTTATTTTATTATTTTGATTAGAAAAATTTATTATTCTTTCTTTTTTTTAATTTTTCTTTATTTTGAAAAAAAATCAATTATTTTAATTAAAATTTTATTATTATTGTTGTTGTTGTTATTAAGAATATAATAATATTATTATTAAGTCTATATGACTAATTTATTCTATTATTTTTATTGTTTGTATTATTATTATTGTAGAAATCCTTACTTCAATTATTAAAATATTCTGTTGTATTTAAATATAGTATTTAAAATATTCTATTCTTTTTCGATATAAAATTTTATAATATTAATTTACAAAAAAGAGTTATTTTTATTGCAATTTTTTTTATCTGTTATTTACACAAAAGTGCTTAAAATGCGTTTCAATAAATTGACTTAATGAATTTTTTATTATATTTCTAAGCAATAATTATAAGAAAATTTAAATCCACTTAAAACATTTAAAAGATTTCAGTTTTCTAATTATATTTTTTATGATTTATATATATTGATTATTTAAATTTATCTATATAATATAAAAAAAAATAATATGAAAGGAAATTCTTTTTTATCAAATAAATTTAAAAAAACTTCATTTTTTGCTTAAGCATTAGTATTTAAGCTAATATTAACAAGTATAATTTAGCTATTAAAACATTTTGTAATTGATCTTATTGAACTTTCTTTCTGTATTAAATTTATTATATTTCATATTTTATTTGCATTAGAATAATATTTTATTTGCATTAGATAGAATTTTTTATATAACATATTTGAAGTGAAAAAGTATGGAAAAATATTCAAAAAAAGAATTTTTTCAAATATAATAAGTGCATATTCAAAATCGAAATAAAATTTAAAAAAAAATAATTATGAAAGAAATATTTCATATATTATATTTATAAATTTAATACATAAATGTTATTTTAATTAAATACAAAAAAGTTAATCAATAAATAAATTAAATATAATATTAAATAAAAGATACTATATAATTTATGTCATTATTTTTTAATAAATATCTATTTAGATATAGTATACATAAGAAAAAATTAGTTATTATTTAGTAACAATATATTTAAAAAACTAGAAATTTTTGAAATTCAATTTATTATCATGCTTGATGACATAGATGAGAAAAAAATATATATAGATAAGAAAAAAATTAACTACTAATGATAATACTTTTAAAAAATCAACAATTTTATTTCTATATTGAACAAATTTATGCTTGATTATTTAAAATTGAATATAATATATAAATGCATAATATCGTCACAAAATAAAAAAATAATCATTTTTGACTAATTTTCTGTCTTTAATAAATTTACAATGTCAATTTACGTATTTCTTTCATGCCATCTATTTTTCAATTATCTCTGATTTAAGGAAATATTCAAACAAAGTTATGAATGTAACTTAATGAATAAAATTTTTTACAATTATATCAATTTGATATAATAAATTAGTTCAAATAAAAATAAATTAATTAAAAATCAACTAATTTGAAAATCATTTTCTAGCCGGATGCAAAAATGGTGTTTGATGTGATCCAAAGAATGGAAGATACGGAGCCATTTAGTGAGGAACTTTTGGCTGCAATGAATAGACTCTGGGCTGATAGCGGAGTCCAACAATGTTTTGGCAGAAGCAACGAGTATCAACTCAACGATTCGGCAAAATAGTAAGTAAATTTATTAATATATATTTTTTTTCAATCAATATGTATTCTTTCTTAAAAAAATATTTCAAATTATCATAAATTCTTTAATATTTAAAATATATATAGAAAAAAAGATAACATAGAATCTATTAAAATTAGAACGTTCCAATAAAAATAATATTATAATATTATTTATGATGTGAATAGTTTAAAATAATAATAGTATAACTTTCATTATTGATATTTTAAGAAAAACAAGTTTTTATAATATTCTCTTAAATACGAATAATATCTATTTTATAAAAATATGATAATCATATGAAAAATATGATTATTTTGTAAACTTTGATAACTAAAATAATTAATAAATTTTACTAATAAAAATAATAAAAAAAATATTAATGGATTGAAAACACATTATTGTTTCAAATATTATATTAACAATGATAACATATGTTTATAGTTGTTTGTATGTTTATAATTTAAAAAAAATAAATAACAGGAAAAAAATTTTGAAAATTTATTTATATAAGTATCTGATTACTACACAATTAAGATAAGAATTTGACAAACAAAAAAATATATTTTAAGTTTATTATTTACTTTTGCAAATATCTAAAATAATCTTTAAAATAATCAATAATTTATTCGTATTCAATCGAAAATATACAAATTCATTTTTTAACAATTTTAAGAATATTATTCTTTTTTTTTTATTTTTATTAAATCTTCTTTTTTTCTTTGTTTTTTTTTTTTTTTTTGTTATATCGATTTTATTCTTTGAATAATATCTTATCTTAAATAGCTAATCATTGATTCGATCGAAACCTTTATCCTAATTTCTGAATATTAATCAAGGAATTCAAAAGATGAATCAGTCAGATAATTTTATTTAATTTAATAATATTTTACATTATATATTAATATATTATAATATATATTATATATTAATTTATATTATTTATATCCTAAGAATTAAAATTAAAATGATTTTATAAAATTCATTTGATAACAATATTTGAAATCATAAAATTATCCAAAATCTCATTTTTTAAGAAATTATTATAAAACTTAAAAAACTTAACTTCAAAAAATTCTGTAAAACCAGGTGCATTTTGAAATTATTTAAATATCTTTTCTCTATTGGGTAGTCAATTGTTAACAAACCTGACGCAAAATAACATGGAAACTTTTAATAATATCTGTAGAATTATCAATTAATATCAATATGAATGATGAAATGAAAATACCATTTAATTATTTTTATTATATACAAACATATATTTTTTAATATGTCAATATAATTAATCATATTTTACAAGATGGTATTAATCCACTTTTGAAATTGTAAGATTTCTCGTTTAATATTAAATATAGCTTTTTTATAATATTTAATAACAGTTTTGTGCAAGATAAAAAAATTTTTAGAACTAGTCACATTCCGTTGTATCGATGATTTGCGCATTCTTTAAATATTTTTTCATTATTATTATCTTTTCTCATGATTATTACATTTTTACATTTATTATAAAAAAATAGAAATAGGAGATTCGAAACTTCGAAATTTAAGAAATTTTAAGTTTTCAAATTTAAAAATTTCTTATTATTTCCGTGATTTAAATTACTCTTAAAATTAAAATAAATATAAATTATATAAATTTTACAAAAATTTACAAAAATAATTATATAAAATGTTATATTCATTTTAGACTTAATTTTAAATTTATTTCAATTATTATGATTTTATTAATTCATTCAAATAGTTCAATGAAATATAAAAATGAAAAATTTTTTAGAAAATAAATTATTAGTTTATTAAAATTTATTACGAATTTTTGACATTCAAAGTATTATGATATGAAATTTGTTAAGATTTTAATATTTGAAAATAAATATTTACTTATTCTTTAAAAAAAAAAGAAAAAGGAGGAATAATAAAAAAAAATATTTTGAATTTTAAATACTTTAAGCTTTATGAATTTTAAGAGATTTTGAAATCTCAGATTCATAAATTTAAAAATCAAATTTTGATTCATTTCTATAAAAAATTATTAGTTTTGGAGATATTTTAATAATAAATTTATGAAATTTAACATATGAAATAAGAATAAGAAGGATTTGAAGTTTTCTTATATTTATATTTATGTTTTTCTTATGAAAGGAAAATAAAATTCAATATATGAAAGATGTACTGAATTTCACAAAATGAAAGATAAAATATTTCCAAACTAATATCTTTTTTTTAATAAGTGAAATAATAATCTTTAATAAGAAATATTTAGCTAACATCAATTAATATCAAATTGGAATTGATTGTTAAATTTATTGAATATAGAATTCTAATTCTAATTTCTACATTCTTTAAAATACACTTTTTTGTGAAATTTCTCAAATAATCTTAAAAATATTTTAAAATATAGCAAAGAAAAATATTCTTTGTATTTCTATATTTTTAATTTTCCATATTCTCAATTGTTTATATTATTAATTTTTATATAAACAATATTATATTTTGATTTTCTATACATTTGATTTTAAATTCTAGCGTTTATACTACAAAAATATTCAATAAAAATACAATTTTTTTAACTATAGTTTTTAGTCTCTCTATCATGTAATTTAGAATAAATTTAATAATAATTCAATCTTTTGCGACTTCATTTATATTTAGTAGCTTGCTAATTTCTAAGAAATTAATTAGTATTTGGCTGACGATCAACAATTTAACTTCATTTATAATTCTCGTTATTATATTATATATTTTATTCTATGAAAATTATTAATTTTATTAATATTTGAGTTGATTATCTCTAATATTAAAATTTCTATTAAAAATAATTGTTTGATTGTAGTTTAAAATAATAAGTAAAAGTAATAAAAATAATTTAAAAGATATTTTTATTTTATTAAAAATTTTAAAAATTTTCGTAAAAAATATATTGAATAATATAATTTTGAATTTTATATTATATATAAAATATTTTAAATAAAATACATTATATATTTATAATATTTTTTGTAATGTAGCAGTATGAGAATCATTTCCGAAACAATTTATGATTTTAAGAAAGTAAATTAGATGAAAGAAATATTTTTTTTTTACAAATGTCATTTTTTTTGTGATCATCATCATATTTTTTTATAATATATAATATTGCAATACATTTATTCATATATGATAATGACTTTAAAATGATTTTAGACTCTAAAATTTTTAAAATCAATTTGAAACTTATGTTAAACGAGATTACAGATTTCAACAACAGGTTTCAACAGATTTCAACAACAATTTAACAGATATTTAACAATTGGACAGATATTTAAATACTTGCTTCTTATTACATTTTTGTCTATATCGACAAATGATTCACAATGTGTTCTTCAAAGCAAAAAAAAAAAAAATTGAGATGATTTTCATTTTTCATATACTCGATAATATCTGAAAAAATCTGAAATATAGAAAAAAAGAAATATAATAAAGGAATTTATAAAGAAAAATTTCTAGAACATAATTGCGTCCGATATGTAATTTTATTAAAATATTTTACGAAAACTGATAATGTCAATGAAAAAAAAAACATAAAATATAATAATATTTAATAAATCAGAGAAATATAATTCTCTAAAATCCAAAAAAAAACTCACATATTGGTATAAAATAATTTGAATGTAAAACTAATGTTAATGTAATAATAAAATAAGCATATTTTGGATGCTTTATATAAAAATTTTATTCTTTCTATTTATTTGTTCATCATAAAAATCGTTTATCATATCAACTTTCAAAATTATTACATTTTCTTTTAATAAGATACAACAATATGAAAATAATAAAATGTTTTTTACAAAAATATTGAATTATTTTTCATAAATCTTGATTAATTTCAAAGTTATTAATTATTAAAAAAATAATTGATTAGATTTAGATAAATTGATAGAAAGAAACTATCAATTATAAATGTTTAATGCATTATCATAATTGATATAAAATTTAAGTCCAATTTATTAATTATTGATATGAAAACTCGATATATGTTGAATTTTTAGAAAACAAACTAAAATTTATTAAAAAATATATCATCAAATAATTATTTAAATTTTGGTATCAATGCGATGAGTATTTAACACATTTTGTAATGAACTTATGATCGATTCGTTTGTCTTATCTTGTATTTTGCAAAGAACATTAAAAGATTATAAAGAAATACTTAAAATATCAAACAAACGAATAATTGCAACGTATGCATTAAATCTGAAATCATTGAAAAAGCAATTTATCATATGCTTCAAAAAATGTTTTGAAATATAAAGATATTATATTAAGAATATTTATTAAAATAAATAAATATTTATTTACATTTTCAAGTTCGCTTCTATTATTAAAAAATGAAATTTCAATATAAATTTCAAACAGATTTTAAAATTTTAGAATCTAAAATCATACTATTAATAAATGTATTGTAATATTATCTATCTGATAGAAAAAATTATATTTATAAACAAATATGAAAAGATAAAACTTTAAAAGAAAAATAAAAAAAATTATATTATAAAAAAAATATTTCTTCCATTTAATTTATGTTTGAAATATCTTCAAAGATACTAATACACATATATGTTTAGTTTGTTTTAAATTAAAATTATTCTAAAAAAATTAAAATATATTGAACTATTTACCACAGAATTTCTTAACAATAAAAATAAAAAAATGGCATATTGAATTGTATATATTTTATTTTATTTGATAATTATTGCTTTGAAAATATTATAATATTCTGAAAATTGATTTTTACATTATTACATATAGAAAAAATATTAAGATAATCCGAAATACTTAGATAGTTAGAAACACTTATATTATTAAATTATTATATACATTAAATACAAATCATAGATGATAAGTTAAAAATAAGAAAAAAAGACTTCTATATTAATTTTATATAATTACTATTTCTTTAAATTAATTTTATATAACTAATATTTATTTAAATTAATATTTAAAAAATAAGCAGAATGATGTT